CCATGAAATATTTTCAGACTGCAGTTGACCTCGGGTAACAGAAATTGCAGAAGTGAAACTGGCTAAGGGGGGATTACTGTATGTAGGTTCCAGGGGCATGAGTTTTAAACAGGCCATTTAACCTTTGAGTTCTGGTGGGTTTATCCTCATAGGAACAGAGCTAACTCCCCATCTGGTCATTACCTTGTATTTGCTTAATGGACAATCATGGGAAAAGAGAGAAAACGATTGGCTTATGTAACTGAAAAGTCCAAGGGTTGACTTCAGACATAACTAGAGCCAGGCACTCAAATCCTGTCTGTCTTGGATATTGGCTTCTGCTTTTACCTGTTTTTCACTCTAAGGCAGATTCTTCTTGAATCTTGTCCAGATTAGCCACCAATAGATCCAGTCTTAAATCTATACACTTAGCAACCCTCACTGAAAAGGAGCATCTCTTTAGCTCTAACCCCAGCAAAGCTGATGTTTATTGGCTTTGATTGGCCTGTCTAGTCATGTACTTGCCCTTGAAACATTCTCTAAGGCTAGAGAGATGCTGCCCTCTCAAAGGCCAGGACTTGGTGGTTCCCCCACCCCTGGAACCACAAAGCGAGGTCAACACCACCTGAACTGCTTGGTCTGAGAGTATAAGGGTGGCTGCTCCAAGTTAAATTTAGTGCTAACACCAAAAAGGGGGAATTAATTCTGGTCATACAATACACTACTGGGTGGTAGAGACAAAATAAAAATGAACAAAAAACCTAAAGTGGATTCAAGAATGTTCCAAGGAGGAACCAGATAGATTTGATAATACAAACAGAATAAAGAATTAAAAAATGACTGATCTATATATTCATTGACTCACCTAAGGCTAGATATAGAGAAAAAAATCTAGTGAAGGGTTTATACTCTTTGATTGAGAGCCAGGGCCTTTCTGGGAACCAATTTGGAATGGAGACTAATTAGGTTATTGTATTAGCCAGGCTTCTCCAGAGAAATGAAAGCAAGAAGATGTATATACAGAGAAAAAGTTTTATTGTAAGAAATTGGCTTACAAAATTGTAGGCACAGGCAAGCCCAAAATCTGCAGTCTGGGGACCAAGGGAAGAGCTGCTGTTGGAGCCTGAGTTTGAAGGCAGTCTGGAGGCAGAATTCCTCCTTCCTTGGGGCACATCAGTATTTTTAAGGTCTTCAACTGATTGGATGAGGCCCCCTCACATTATGGAAGGTAATCTGCTTAATTCAAAGTCCGCTGATTTAAATGTTAATCACGTCTAAAAAAACCTTCACAGAAACATCGAGAGTCATGTTTGACCAAAAACTGGATACTATGGCCTAGCTAAGTAGACACATAAAATCAACCATCACAGTTACCTTCTTGAATTTTGAGTGATCCCTACCCTGAGCCAGAAGGGAGGTGGCCTCTCAATGCTCAGGCCAAACCACAGACCAATTAAATCAAATATCTGGGGGTGAGGCCCAGGTAAAGGGATTTTTTGATGTTCCACAGGCTATTCCAATGAGCATACAAGGCTGACAACCACCCTTGCAGAGCAGTGGTTCTTTGGGTGTGGTTCCCAGACTTGCCATTTCAACCTCACCTGCAACTTGCTAGAAATGCAAATTCTCCGACCCTGCCCCAGACCTACCCACATCAGCAGCATAGCATTGCTCTTCTCTAAACTAGAAGGGCGGGGCATTCGTAAAGCTCTTTGGGTGAATGAACTGACTCCTTACTAAGATTTTCTTTAGTAATGGAGTGTGTGTTGGAAATAGACATAGAAAACTAAGAGGGATCTTGACTGCGTGGCCAACTTTTACTGAGACTGGGTATTTCTAAGACACAACAGATGTGCAAATCTCATAGTAGCTCTGGCGACTCAGTGGCAGATCTAGCAGTTCCCGCCTCCCATGCGTTTAGAGAACCCTAGTGTCATCAGAGTGCCCTAGCTATTCTGTCATCTCAAACACAATTCTTTCTCCCTTGCCTTCTGTTTACATTCCTGAATCTGATTGGTTATTCTTTGTCATTTGGGCAGTTTCCTTAACATTTGCCCAATTTATAAGCCTCTGACCAAGATAAAGATTAGCTTTCCTTGGGTCAGGTCTCCCACCAAACCCAATCAGTTGGGACCAGGGGAAAATGAAATTCAGCGTGTTAAGAATCTCCTAGGGCCATTTCTTTTAAAAGGTCTGAGGAGCCGCCTAATGTGGGTTAGTATGAGGCTTGGTCTCTTGGGGATCTTCAGCTGTTCTCTGACCCTCAAATCTATGTGTAGTTCTTTGATACAAAGACATTGAGGAGAATATTTGCATTTGTTCAACAATACATTTTGGGATGAGTTGCAAATTGTTACTGAAAAATTTTGGAAATGTTTCTTTTTCATTTCAACATTTCTATAGGGAAGTCCTCCTGAGGCCCAATTTAGGAATGCCAGGAACCAAATTATTTTGGAAAAAGAAATCTGATTTGCATGCCCCAAATAGTAGGTCCTGTATTTCATGTAGAATTTCTCTTCCCATAATCTCATTCACTAGGCCATGAGTGACTAGAAGCTGTTGGCACTTTAAAAAAAAATGTTTTTATTGATTTCAGAGAGAGGAAGGGAGAGGAAGAGAGAGATAGAAACATCAATGAGAGAGAATCATTAATTGGCTGCCTCCTGCACGCCCCCTACTGGGGATCCGACCCAAAACCCGGGCATGTGCCCTGACCAGGAATCAAACCCTGACCTCCTGGTTCATAGGTGATGCTCAACCACTGAGCCACACTGGCTGTGAGAAGTTGTTGGCACTTTTCAAAATCTCATTTATCAAAAAGAAAAAAAAAAGCTCAAGTTGACAGTTCTCTCCAGGTCTTTTCAGATTGGCAGTCTAAGCTGTTTTCTAAGTGATCTGATCTCACCATATTATGTTAAACTGAAAAACAGTAAAAGTCCAATCCAAAGTGAAAGGCCACGAGATCAAAAACTTTAACGACACTACAATTCACTGAACATCCTGTCACTTTAGCTATCTTAATGCCAAAATTAAATTTGTACTTTACCCTGAATCTTGTAAAACCCTTTCACATGGAACCCATAGAGCTAATTATTTCATCTTATGCCACCCAAAACTACAACTACTACCTTGAAGTCCAAGTCATAAAGTTCAGCTACCAGAATATAAGACAATTAAAACCAATTTAATTTGGATTTATCATGTTCTGTTTGTTGATAAGAAAGGGGTATTTATAGACCTGGTATTTACATTTTGAATTGTTTCAGGTCTCCTATTAAAGCCTGACTTAAGGTTTTCAAACTTGATTTTAGATGTTTTCTTTCTCTTAAAAAGACAAAGATCCTGAACCCTGAGCCAATGTCTAGTTTTTATTTTATTTCATTAAAGTCAAATGTGCCCTCACCTCAACATGTGCCTCTGAAAAGAACTGGGTAAAAAAAGTATCATCCAACAAGTTTACAATGAAAATCATGAGCCTGAAACTTCCTTTTGTATTTTCAGGTGTTAGCTGTTGAAGTTGGGAGATTTAGGAGGTTTTGGTAGTTTTAGCAAGGTTTGCAAATATTTTATTTTTATTAAGTCCATTTATCTCAAAACCATAGCCTAAAAAGATTATGGCAACTCTTGAATAAAACTTAGTTGTTTGCTTGTTTACTATATGAAAGGAGAAAAATTGAAGTTTCTAATCATTAAATGTCTCACGAGAAAAGTATTCCCTCATGGTTCCAACCACGGGGAAAAACAATACATTTTAGTTGTGCCACTTCGCAGGCTGTAAATACTTCCAAGTTGCCTTTGAAGTGTGGCATCACTGACCCATTGCTTCACCTGGTAAATTCTCTCCATCTTCTAGAAGTTAAATTACCTTGGTAGAATGAGTCAATCCTCAGGACTGGACCATTACAAAAAATCTCCAAGTTGGGATACATACTCTACAAGAAGTCTGTTACACCTTTCAAACTAAGTGTTCAACGAAGTGTTTGACAATTTTTAAGAAATACATAGATCAAAGCATTATTTCTCTGTCTCCCCACTTCATAAAAATAAATGAAAAGGAACCCCAAATGCCTATGCGTACTATTGTATCCTCACTCATCTTCTTGAAAAGTAAACCTAACACGGTTGACTTCTGCTGGGCAAGGCCTAAGAAGGCTGAACAGAGACGCTTTTGTACTTTTGAGAATTTCTGTTTTAATTTCCCACTTCAATGTAATTATCAGTGTTTAAAGTTTGATCTAGAAGAGATGAAGCAAGTATTCAGTAGCAACAGCAGTTTTTCAGGAAGATACCAGCAGATGTCAGCAAAAACTAAGGCAGTGCCATGTGAACTTGTAGGATGTTATTTCTAGCAGGGTAACCTCCGTGAAATAGAAAATCTCTAATTACCAAAGCTTAGTCCATTTAAGACACTTCAGTTTTCGACATTGTTACCTGACTTATAAATAACCTTTTTGGGAGTGGCAGGGGTGAGAATGAGAGGCCACAGTGGGGTCTGATTTTTTGAAATAGCTCTTTTCAGAGAATTGAATTGCTCTGATTTTGCTCAACAAAAGCCATCCTCAACACTATCGTACATACCAAACTACACTTCAGACAGCCATGTTTGGTTTTAAAAAAATCAACTGGCTTACAAAATAGTCCATATTACTCAGGAACTCCAATACATGTTCAGGGATTCTGAACATGGAGTATTTGTGAGTACATGAATGTTATTTTTCTGGGGAGAGAGTTGATAGCTTTCATCAACTTCTCACAGTGATCTCTGACCTCCAAAAAGTTAAGAACCATACTGGAACTTAGAAAAATTATATTCTCTGTATCAATAAATCACTCTATATGTGTATATATGTACATATGCTTCAAAATACATCTGCAAAAGATTACTTAGTTGAATCCATGCCAGACAAGCAGTTTTAGAACAGGCTGTTACACAGAACTAGATGTAATATTTTAAAAACAGAAGAATCTCACATATAATATTCCAAAACTATTTTCTTATATTTATAAAAGACAAATAGGAAAAAGATCATATGGGATGCCATTTATTTTATTGAAATATATACACATGCATTTTAATGTCTGTGACCAAAACATTGTGTAGTCACTTCTCCCGGGGGCCACATACAGTGTAAGTAAAATGCTTATACAACTTTTAGTTTTGCTTTTCAGAGTAACAGCATTCTAAAATAATTTAGCCACCTTGAATCATATGCAAAAATGTAAAAAGGGTCTAGATTATTTTGTTTTCTGTATTTCTGAAACTTTACATGACAAAAAAGTAGAAGTGGATTTGTGATATAAGTTTTCCAAAAACAGCTTTTATTATAGCCTACTCTAAACCAGAAATACCTTTCTCTGTAAACCTTTGCATGCTCATTAAAAGTTCTGTCCTTATGAAGAGCCTAAGCAATATACTAAATCATACTTAGAAGCAATGAAAATGATGGCAGCAATGCAATTAAGGTCTAATGATCCTGGCAATTCAGATAAAATTGAAGTCTATGTTTAAGTCCTTTACAAGAAAATATTTCCTTAATTCAGAAAAAAGAATCTAGCCATTTAAGTATATAAAGCTAAAATATTCTTTTTGCCAGTGCTCTGCTGAAACATATAAATGGAGGAATTAACTGCACTTCTGATAACTAGGTCAGTGAACAATTATAAATTAAAACACAGTTAATTTCATGGCTGAAAATGGCATGCCATCAAAGTAAAAGCAGTCTTTTATAGAGATACTAAAAGTATACAGAAATAAAAATAAACCTCTATTGGTCAATACAACTGGCTGTATAAATTTATAGTTTTGATGGCTAAAAAAAATTTCAAGTTGCTTAAGCTCATTTGATTAAAGTACTATATTTAGGGAAGACAAAGCAAAAACCTAGCTTAGCGGCAATATCCTAGATGATGAAAGATTTTAGATGGGATAACAGGTAGCTGTTTTAAAAAAAGAAACACCAGAGAGAAGTCATCTCCCACCCCAATCCTCCAAACAACACCCATACAAATTCCAACATTAAGTTTCAATTTCCAAATAATTTATAGTTTCAACCAGTGTTTCTCCACCTTTTAAAAAATTATTAGTCCTTTAATCCTAATCAACATGTTTATATATTTATGTATATTTATGTTTTTACACAGAAAAAGATTTTTACCACAAAGAACACATTTGCACCAAGAACGCAATGTTCTAAACAATGAAAGGTTTACAGTATTAAAACATTTTTTTTGAAGAGTTTAAGTGGAGAGAAGAAATCGCATATTTTAGTAGATATGCAGATTATTCCCAAAATAGCTTAGCACTCAACCACTTAGCTGTATCAAAATTAATTTTTCCTAAAGTAGGCACTTTTCTCAGCTACAGGCAGTCCTTGCCTTGCATGATAGTATAGCACCATAAAAAATGGCCATTCAAAGCAATCTCTCTTAATAATCAATGGGGAAAATTATGATTGTTCTGTTCAGTTAAAATTAAATGAAAAATTGTAAAAAAGTACTGATTTAGTACACTTTAAAACATTAGAAAGATTTGAGAATTTGTGTTATTTCATTGTAAAAAACTAATCAGTTTGAATAGTGCTTGCCTTTTTTTAAAAAATAGCTTATACCATGGCAAATTTCCATACTCCTTTAAGTTTGGATTAGCTTCCACCAATTCAGTGTTTGTACTTTGTTGTAAAATATTTCTGTAATTTCCTTTAATGTGAAGTTTTTACCATCACTTCCTCTGGGACCTAGTATCCTTTCACAAGCACCTTCCTCATTTATGGCAGTAAGTCTGCCTCCACTAAGTTCCTCTGGCTACATATCCAGAGGCTCTAGAAGAGCAGCACTGTCAACATCCCCATGATCAGGATTTCCTCTACAGCTCCATAATGTTCACCTCAAATCTCACTTCCAACATTATCATTTCTTTTATAAAATGTCGCATGTGGGACAAGGTAACAATACACCTGTATGCTTTGCTGTCTGTGAGTGAACTGATTAGCAGATGTACAGTGACCAATTTCAAGCAAATCTGAGAGAATACGATTGGTCACCGATCATGAAATGCATGTTACTCACTTAGTGACTACTTTGTGTAATTACTCACAGTTACTATACCGTGGTAACTGAAATTTAAATTGTGCTGTTAGGGAACTGGTATTATTCAACTAAATCATTGCCACTGGAATTTGTGGCTACATGAATTGTGCAAACTGAGGAATGCCTATACCTTACTTGTTTACATTGACCCAGGAAGGCTTAAAGTGGCTGCTGAAAAAGCCCATCTAAATTTACATTAATTAGCGCAGGATGAGTGCATTTGAGGTGGTTTTCAAATGTCATTTGGCAATCAACTTTAAAATGTATCTGAGAACACAGAATTTTAGAAATAGGGAAAGTACTTTAAAGATCCCATAATGTGATACCACAAATTATCCAGCATGTTTATTATGAATGATTTCTCCTCCTTCAATTTCGATTTGCTCATAGAGCCACTTGCGGTCACAGCGGCATTCTGCTCCACATTTGGTGGAACCACAGGCAGGACAGGCATAGAAACACCCTAAGCAATCTTCATCAAGGCAGTCACAGAGGTCCATCCCACTGAAAATCAGGAGGCCCTGGCTATCGTAGACCTTACTCTTCGCCGGTATCACTTGTCTGTAGAATAAACACAGGTGAATCACACCTCACACACAAATATATTATTTTGAATATTTAATTGAAAATAAGGTAATGAAAAAAGTTAAGGAGATAAAATATTCTGAATTAGAAATGAAGTCCTGACAAACTGGTACATAACTTACCCACTCAAGGCTACCCTACAACTAGTAGTATATGAACTCATGTCCAAAGAGACCTCACTCTAAAGTACTGAGACAAATACAAAAAGCCTAAATATGCCTCTCAAAGTGCATTGAAAAATCAACTCAGTGAAGGAATGGACAAAAACTTTGTCCAAAAAATAAGTATATCTGTTAAAACTTCCCTCACCTTTAAGAAAAGGAAAATGGCCCGTTAATAGTGATACGCTTTTTTGGCTACCAATCTCTTTACAGCTTTGTGAACATAGTTTTATGTTTATTACAGTGTACTACTCTATTGTTGTAAAATACTTCTGTAATTTCCTTTAATGTGAAGTTTTTACCATCACTTACTCTGGGACATAGTATCCTTTTCACCACAAGCACTTTCCTCAATTTAAAAAGTCGTATTCTAAACAGTTTAGTTTCCTCATTCACTCTGCTGACTGTACCGTAACTATTTCCATTTCATACCTATAACATTTCTCATGAAATTTATTTTCTAGCTGCCACTCATACAGCAGATATACCAATTACATAATACCAATGTTTTTCAAAAACTTCAATTACTTTAATTCTAAGTATAATTTGTTTAAATTATTTTAATTCCTATGCCAAAAATATTATCCTGCTCATTTCATTGATACTTTCTTAGAAACAAATTTTTAGCGTTGAAAAAGATGTCAATTTTTTATGAGGCCCTCAGATGTTACCAATTCCAGATTACCCAATTAAAATATTTACCCAGAAAATTCAAAACTTAAGAGAAAGATAGGGGAACAATACAGATGTGAGGCAGAAAGTTAATATATGAAAGAAATAACCCGTAGCCTACCTGTCTGAACCAGAGGTTACACTTTTTGTAAGTCTTCTTTTTTCTCTTTTACCAGTTTCTGAAGCAAATTCAGTTTGCTTTCCTGGGTTTGTAAATTGTAATGACTTCAAAGCTTTAGCAGTTCTTCCCTGAATAAAAGTAAAGAAATTATCAACTTAGATCTTGACATCATATCATATTAATATTTCACTTAATGTTAATTCAGATTATTCCTTAACCTGGAAGACAGTCCTGAACTCACAAAAAAGAAAAAAAAGGTTTTAGAGCCCAAGTGCAACAAAATTCAGATGGTCCTGGACCATATTAAAAATTTATTGGTTAATATACACATAATATTTGCATTACCTAAATTTAATTTCTAGCATAGAGGAAAGGAGGAGGTCAGGCATAGTGAAAACAGAAATTGCTGCTTTCAGCATGGGAGAGAAGTCAGAAAAACTGCTTTATAACCTAATGGCACATAACTGAGGTTCCTGGTAATGATCCTGAGTACTTAAGAAAAGTGTCTGTTGTTATTATATATGTTTTCAAAAGCAGAGAATGTGGTTTCAAGTCCTGAAATGCATTAAAAATTTTGATGGTTAAGAGTTTATGTTTGTTACTTGGGGGAAATAGCTTTATGTGACACATTCCACAAGAGCAATGGACAGGTTAAGTGGAGGAGACATCTGAAGTGACAGTAGCAAGCACCTAGCTGCAAGATAACACTGGGTCCTGGAGCTATGCCTCTGAGGGGAGCACAAAAGGAAAGCACTACGTCTAATTTAAAATTTTAATTATCTCTTAATTTGGTTTATTAATATAATGAATGATAAAATTGAGAAAAATATCCCAGCTGCAAGAATTAAATTAGTTAAAAATAGAAATTTTGAGAAATGCTCCTTTGACATACTTGTCCTTGTTCTACACCAAAGAGAGCTTCATGAAATCTTAAATTGTTCTGATATGGGTAAACAATATGAATGCAGCCATGTGAATAAGTAAGAGTTATAGAATATTTATTACTTACAGCGTAAAAATACATGCTTTTTGATCATAGGGAGTCCTAAAATTAGCTTTAAGCATACCAAATAAAATTCCAGAGTTAGAAGAAAACTCACAAGCTTCTCAAAAACCCATACAAGAATGGAATAGTGCCAAAGGAGAAAGAAAAGTTGAAATAAGAAACGGTTACTGAAAGTTACTTCTCTGATGTACTTTTTAAAGCAATAATTTTCATAAAAAGGGGAATTCCTCTTGCTGTATACAGACCATTGCTGGCTGGAGTGTCCCACTATTACTTTGGTGTCAGAAAAGAAACTAAGACAGTTAAGTCCTGGCTTTGCCAGAATGTTCTAAAAGCCAGTCCTAATGTCTTAGCACTAGGAGTTACAGCTTGAGAGTCTTGGGCATAGTATGTTATTCCTCTCCCAAGCCTACTTTATCATTCAATCTAGGTGAAATTTTCAACTGGTATGCCAAGACACACCAAGAATTTTTTATTTATTTATTTAAAATATATCTTTATAGATTTCAGAGAGAGGAAAGGAGAGGGAGAGAGAGAGAAACATCAATGATGAGAGAGTCATTGATCAGCTGCCTCCTGCATGCCCCCTGCTGGGGATCAAGCCTGCAACCTGGGCATGTGCCCTGACCTGGAATTGAACCCCGATTGCCTGGATCCTAGGTCGACGCTCAACCGCTGAGCCACGCCCGGCCGGGTTCCAAGAATTTTTTAAAACATGCAATACCTGACTATTTAGTCAGGGGTACTGATCTCTTTTCCCTTAGATTGTCAAATTAAAAAAATGACAACAGCCAATAGAACAGCTGTCCAGTGTGAATGAAATAAAAATTTTACCTATATTTCTTGTCTGATGGGCAAAAAATATATTTTTTGGACTGTCACAGAATTTTTCTAATTAGTTTATGTGTGCCATAAGATGAAAAAGGTTGAAAACGCTGATCTAGGTATATAGAAATATTTAGAAACGCCGCTTATTTTTACTTCCCCAATTTTATATTCACTGTATGCTGATTAGTATAATAAATAATAATGTAAATATGATTCCCTTATAGTTAAAATCCCAGATGTAGAAATAACATATCAGAAAAAATGACTACTATACATACATCTGAATCAGGTTTTCTTTTCTGCCGGTCTTCAGAATCAACATCCACACTTCCATTGATTATCTGTGTGCATTTTGGACAAAGCTTCCAACCAGGTACAAGCTGTCTGCCAAATTTTGCACTCAGAAAAGTGGCATCGTCTAAGTCAATTACATGCAAATTTTTTTTGGCTAGTTTTTTATGTATGTTAAATGGGTCACAACATGACTTCTGCAAATCCTCAAATCTGTCAATGTAAATTTTTGCATGATGAAAGCAAATTGTATTGTTCCCAGAAAGTGTCATTCCAGTTCTAAGTTGAAGTAAAAGCATATCATTTGATGACAATTCTTGCAAAGTCTTGAAACCTGTGTGACGAGTATAGTAGGTTTTATGGCACTCATTCGTGGTACGAAGCTGGACTCCAACTGAACATGGATCCATCATTCTTAATTAGCAAACTTCCTGTTTAATTCTATCAAGGGATCCCTCTAATAAGTGATGTGCTGATCACCCTAAAGAAAATATTAAAGAGAGTCAGATTTGCCGTGCAAACTTTTTATCTGGGAAACTAAAAAGGCATTTGATAAAATTCAAATGCTTGTTTAAAAGAAAGAAAACTCTTAGCAAACAAGGAATAAAAAGGTAATTACCAAAAGCCTATAAGAAACATTATTATATTTAATCATGAAACATTAGAAGCATTCCCTATAAAGTTAGAACTACATAATACCTGCTGTAACAGCTTCCATCTAACACCATATTAAAGGGTAGAAGTGAAAAGAAACAAGAAATATTACTCAAAGGCGATATAAATATCTACATGGAAAATATAAGAGGTTTTAGCAGACAAACTATTACAACAAGCAAGATAACTGAACAAAGATACTGGAAACAAAAACACTTTAAGCTACCTTACAAAATATATAAATCTAAATTATCAAATACAAAGACAAAAATGACAATAAATGCTAATGCTTAGTATCTTATTAACAAATTTTTAGGGGAGGTGTGGCAACACCGTTTTCCTATATTGATTTTTCATTAATACAGCTTTTATTTTGCTACCAGTCTTCTAATTAGTGCAGAAAGTAGTATTAAGAGGAAACTTAATGAAATTTTAGGTTAACTCAAGAGTCCTTCCCTTTCATGAAAAATGCCCTTTGCAGGGAGGGAGGGGTGAAGTATACAGGGTCTTCTAATTTATAAAGCATTTTCTAGGTTATCTCTTATTTAATTAAAATATTTTCATCTACCCCTACTATGCAAATCGGAAGCTTTAGTTATGGGCGTTCACATAAAAAAGTCATGCCTCCTGCAACTGTCAACTTTTTGTGCCCATTATCTTCAAATGTTATCTATTATTACATGTGAGTGGGCACTAATACAAAGATTAAAGAGCCTAGATGAGATAGTCTCAATCCTCAAGAAGGCCCAGGCCCAATAAGAAAGGTAAAGAGAATTTAAAACAAAAATACAGTCCATAGTACCATTTAAAAGATTTATAGGAAGCGACACCACAACCATCATCTCATTAATCTTTACAACTCTGAGGTACTATCATCCCCATTTACAGATGAAGAAACTGAGGTTTAGGGCTCTAGTTATCAAGCTAGCACAATGGCTGACAGAGACACTTAAATATTTGCGGAGCAAATTTAAAAAAACAGAAACAAAAAACCTAATTTTAATTTGTATGAAGAATCCCTGTTAATGAGGTCCTGATGATTTACTCTCGGCTCACCCAATGCACTCCCCTCAGATTTTTTAATACTCTGTCCCGCGTGCTTCCAGATCACTTCTGGAACAATGCAGTAAACTATCCAGGCTTCCAAACCCCAGTTGCAATTTGTCACTATTCCTCTGGTCCAGAAACTGTAAGAATCGCACACCAAGAAGGCTGAATCTCCCCGAATAAGCCCCCCGGGATCCTGCAATTGTCCCCACACAACCCTGTGGAGGTCACATGACAATGCCCCTAGTTCACGGCTCTATCAAAAAGTTTCAAGCCCTGCCCAGACACGTCCAAGGAGCACCGGCCATGTTCATGGTCCCGGTATAAAAAACAACTGCTCTCGGCCTCCGGCTTCAACCAAACATCTAGGGCCGGGAGGGCTCTGGTTACAAAAATGGAAACAAAACAGGAGACAGACACGCTGTGCTCGGGGCTCAAGGCCACAGCAGCCCTCATCTAACAGGGTACAAGCCTAAGCCATAGCTCCCAGGGCTCCGGCAGGGAGGCGACAACCCGCGGGCGCGACAGATGCGGCAGAAACTGTGCTGGGCCTGGGCACCTAGGGGCGCCGGGACCTGGGGTCGAGGGTGCGGGGCGGGGTTTACTCCGCAGGGCGCGAGGCCCACCTGACAGCTCAAAGTTCCCCTCCCGCTTCCGGGCCTCGTCTCCCAACACCCCGGCCTCCGCGACCCGGCCCGGGTCCCCAGCCCGTCCAGAGGCCCGTCTCCATGCCCCGCTCGCTCCCGCCCTCCCAGAATCTCCCCCACGGCCGGTTCCACCTTAGCGCGAGCGCCTCCGCCCGGGTTCGAGAACTCGCAGCCGCGCTCCACCACCGCGCCGGCCCGCTCTCCCGCGCGTCCGCGCAGCATCGAGAGGACGGCTCGCGAGAGCTAGAGGGGCTCAGCGCGACCATAAAGAGAGACGCCGCGAAGCCTAGAGCGGAACGGAGCCGGCGCCTCCCGGGCGGAAAGGGCGGGGCTGCGTCAAAAGGCGATCGATTCGAGGTGAGGCAACAGTCTCCTCCCGAGCTGATCTGGTTTTGCTGTCGTTCCGCGGAGGTCAGCGAGTTGTTTTGTCCCAGGGGCCGCTTCCGCGACACAGGTTTAGTTAACTTGGATTCTGTTCGCAAATCTCTACGCCTAACCGAGGCCACAGTGTTGCATCCTAATCCCTGGAGAAGTGAATGAGTGAAAAGGACCTCAAGCACGGACCCTTTCATTTTAAGGGCTCACATTTTATTTCATGAATTTCAGCCCTGCTAAATATATTCCAAAATGCATCCCTTTTAAACTATAAAGACCAGCCATGTTTATTACGTAGAGTATAATGTGGGCTCCGAGAAGATGCTTGTAAATTTTTCGAGGGAAGAAATAACTATTTTGCCTGTATCCCTGTTGTTTGCCACGGTTCAGGCACTTTTAAAGTGGATTTCAAGATCCCTTAGACTGAAGGGTCTCAGCCTTCGTTTTCAGGTGGGAGGCGGAGGGAAAAGCCCTCCCCCCTGCCCGGAATAATGGTTTTTTTAACCAGCTAAG